ACATCTTTATGGTTACTTCATGAAAAATAATTTGCTTTTAGCTCGGGACGAAGAAAAAAATTACACTCTACACAAGACTAAGAAAGTAGCGTGGTTCGTCTCAAACTGCAATCCGAACAGCAACTATACGATATATTATGCAAACGCACTTGCAAAACACATTACGGTTGACGTGTACGGAGGCTGCGGGAAGAATAAATCTCCCAAAACAAAAGAGATGGAATGCTTTAAGATGCTCACAAATGATTATAAATTTTATTTGTCTTTTGAAAACTCGCATAGCGTTTATTATGTTACAGAAAAATTGTTAGTCAATGCATTGAGGTTAGTCCAATCGTTCAATAACTTATAATATTCTACAATGTGATCTTTTAAACAATCCTAACATAACCCTTATATTGTTAATCGTTCTCTCAGAAATCGCTATGTGCGTATGAGAAACTTTTGTAGTTAACAATCGATTCTCAGGTTACTATTATACCCATTAGTATACTACTTAGGTAAAAATTGAGTAATTAAGCCAATTTAATATGAGAGAATCTATTAATATTTAATTTAAATATTAGTAATGCTGATCTTCTATATACTTTTTTTCATTATTTTTGTTTTCACGGCTTTTATATATATTATTTTGGAACATGTGTTTGAATTAGTTTTCATTTTTAATCTCAATACACGTGAAAACGAAAATGACATGCATTTTGTATGTGAATAAATTGTGAATTGAGTTTTGAATRAAACGATTCGCAACTGTTAGTTGTTCGTCCCGATGATGTCGAGACCTCCCATATTTTCGGATTAAATTTAGATATTGTATCAATATAAACGGTTGTTAGAGAATTTTTTAGCCTCTCATTATCGAGATGGAAGAATCAACATATAAAAATATTCATYSGGATCAKTAACCAGTGCAATCTATATGACGATATGTCCCTTAAGGCTTACGGATACAAAGATCATTTGGGCGGAATCTATAATGAATACACCTTTACATCAATAGTGTTTAAGCATCAAATAATATTTAGCAATAGTTTGATTTATAGATAATTTGCGATTTGTTACATAATATTAAAATTAGTAAAACATATTACTGCGTAGTAATGACGTGTTGCCGATCGTTATTGGGCTGAAACGGAGGGATTACGAATTGATGGTGCCGGAGAATTCATTCATTCACGTCGACAATTTCCAGTCACTAAAAGAGCTAGCCAACTATTTGCTCTTTTTAGACGAAAACCATCAACTGTGCAACGAATACTTMCGAATAARAGGCTCGGGCACGGTAATTCAGGATACCCGGTTTTACTGMCGGTTTTGCGCGATGCTCCACGACACGAAACGTGTGCCCAGACACTACGAAGACTTCAACAAGTTGTGGAAAGGACTTGGCATATGCCAAAGTTGATAATATAATATTAAATAAATATAAACTTTTGTGCTTTGTGTTTAATGTATGTACGATATTACGATTTTTCTAAGTACCTATCATCGCAATAACTGTTCAATATTGTCATCGTAAAACTGGCAACGATGACTGCTTTTTGTRATCATAATTTGCGTTGAAGGTAAATTATATAATAATTGTATGTCAAGGCCACTAAAGACTGACTTGTATGGCCTTTCAATGTTTAGAGGAAAGGGTAGAAAAAGGTTAGGTTATGAATTAATTTTTGTTAAAAGTTGAAAAAAAGCGGGTAAGTGGATGTCGCTCTGCTGTAAATTAGGGGGTGGGGTGGACCTCTGACTAGGG